GGGGGGGGGGGAGGTTTAAGGAAAGCCTCTGTAACTTCTCATTTTGGCTGTGAACCTAAAACTGCTCTGAAAAAAAAGTCGATAAAATAAAAATGATTGCAAGAGAAACACCTCAAAAACTTTTGAAACAATATCTAGTATGGTAATTTAAATTTAGGGAATATTCCATTCATTTTCTCATATAGTAGCTGAAGTTCCCTTTATCACCTAATGAAAACCATGTTTTATTTTACTTTCAACTAGCGCCTGTAAGAGTGTCATTAGTACCTTTAGCTGCTGTGTTTATAACGCATTTGCCCTCAGCTTGCACCGCTCTTGCTTTAGCACGGGTGTGCCACGCTACTTTTGCAGCCTGGTCCGCACAACCAGTCATCATCTCATGTTAAGTGGAAGTAGGTTCCCCTTCCACTTAGCATGGAATGTGGGTCCGTGGAATGTGGGCATCCCATGCTCAGTGCCACTCTTTCGCACATTCTAGCGTATGTTTCTTTATTATTATTGAGAAAATTGTATATCATTTTATTTTTAAGCAAATATTCTACTAATTTTTAATATAATTTTACCCACCTCCTTCATCATAGCCAAATCCACTAAACTTGAAGGAAAAGCTTAAATTCTTAGAGGTCCTTTTTGAAGAATTATTGAACACAGTTTGAAACGTAAAAGAAAATTTTTTTTCCACTTATGCAGGTATAAAATAGCAAGTAATTTAACTCTCACTTTGGAGCCTTCTTAATATAATAAAGGATAAGTTTCTAAATGAGGCAACAGTTCACCTGTAATCATTGTCTCTTCATATTTCACAGATCTCCTATATATATATTTGCCAGATCTATACCTCTATGATAATTCAGCAGAATGTTTTGTAAAAATTATTGAAAAGATTGTTCATCTTAAATACAAGGGCATAGCTCTGGGTATTTTGAATGGAGAAAGTATGTTATATATTTGGTCCAAGTGAAGAAAAGATTTCCAGTGGGTCTGAACCTCAAACCACCTGACACAGAGCAAATGGTGAGTCTCCACAACCTCGATCTTGGTGGCTCTGCCTTTAGGATGCCTATCAGCAAACCATGAATTTTGTTTTATTTTCTGAAGTGACATTGTTTCAAAGTTCTTTTCCTACCTTTTCACTATCAGAAGTGTCCCTGAGAACAACTAGATTTGTTTGAAAGAGGTTTTTAAACAGCTACTTGAAGGAAAGCTGTTGGTCTTTTTGTTGTTGAGTTGGGTAAACAAATTGTGTTATATACAAAAAATGGAATATTATTCAGCCATAAAAAATGAAGTTCTTATACTTTCTACAATTTGGATGGATATCAAAAGCATGCTAAGTGAAAGATGGCAGACACAGAAGGATACATGTTCTATGATTCTTTTTTATGTGATATATGCAGAACAGGCAAATCCACAGAAACAGAAAAAGATTAGTGGATGTTATGGAATAGGATGAGGGAGGAATGGGAGTAATGGTGTATTCTTCTGGGGTGATAAAAATGCCTTGAAACTAGAAAGGTGGTGTTACACAATATTGTGACTGCACCAGGTGCCACTGAATGTTATAAGCTAAAATGGTTAACTGTGTGTTATGTGAATTTCACCTCATTTTTTTTAAAAGGGAAAAGTTAGGTCTAATAAGGGTGAAAATAACTGCTTACAGTTTCTGACCATTTTTATTCCATTAACCCCATTAGCAGTCATATGAGGCCTACGAACTCCTCAAAATAATGTTTGTGAATGCATAAAACAAAATGCATCATTAAAGAGTAAACCAATCATATCGGCCTATATTTGCAAAAACATTTTTGAAAAAACACTGTGACCTAATAACATACTTCTTCTTCACCAAGGCATTAAGTGACTACATCTAGCAGCAGATCTAATGACTAATGTAATTTTGATGTAGTGATAATGATATTTAAGGCATCTGGAACATCAGGAAAATGATATAACAATTATATACCATTTATACTGGAGACAAAAATCATAGATACAACCACTACTCTAGATTATAGATAGTACCACTACTTCTAAATTATAGTTAGAAGTAAATAAAAATGAAGAAGTAACCTTTTTTAAAATCCAAGTTCACCAACCCTCTAAAGTCTACCTTAGAACCTCTGGTGGCAA